CAAAACGATCCTTGGAGTAAGTGAATAAAGGGATAAGACTGTAAAAGCAAGAAGAAATCAGAAAGACTGAAAGTCCTGATTGAGAAGGGGCTGTATCGTGCCCTGTGTGTATAAGCAAAACTAGTAAGAATTTGGCGTCACGAGCGTCACGATTGTGACGCCGTCACGCCCGTCACGGGGCACTGGACAGGCCGTAACGCCGTCGTGACGCGGTCACCCTTGTCACGGCGGGGCTCAAGCCGCACATGACTACAGGCCGTGACGCCGTCGTGACGTGGTCACGCCCGCCACGGGGGTGCTACAGCTATCAACGACTACCCGCCGTGACGCCGTCGTGACGCGGTAACGCTTGTCACGGGGGCACTAAAGCTATCAACGACTACAGGCCGTGACGCCGTCGTGACGCGGTCACGCCAGTCACGGGGACGCTAAAGCTATCAACGACTGCAGGCCGTGACGCAGTCGTGACGTGGTCACGGCTCCTTGTCGGCCACGACGCCGTCAAGGAGGCACTGCCGCCGACCCGAAGCCGTGACCGCGTCACGATAGAGTCACGGCCTGCAGTCGTTGATAGCTCTAGCGCCCCCGTGACGGGCGTGACGGCGTCACGACGGCGTCACGGCCTGTAATTAGTCATTGATAGCTCTGGCGCCACCGTGTCGGGCCTGACCGCGTCACGACTGCGTCACGGCCTGCAGCTCTTGATAGCTCTACTCGCGAATTTCGCGTCGGTTTCTTTCAGGCGGGCATCGTGCAGCCCAAATCTGGCCCGGTTTGTTTTCGCCAGCCCTGGCCCATCCTGGCCCTGCAACATAGACCTTACCTGCGTTCCGTAAGCGCTGAATTTCGAATCTTGAACAATCCTTACACTTATAGAAATGCCGGAGCCGCAGTGCCAGGCGTTGGCCCTTGTAATTTGTTTGAGTCCAAAACTTTGATATGTAGCTTCGAGGCTTGAAGACTTTCATAGATCTTGCAGCCTATATCATCCTTATAATCAATTTTAAACCATTCAACACCCTCGAAGCCTGCGACTTCTCAAATTCTGTACTTTGACTGTTTTAAAATTTAAAATCCGACCCTGAACGAGCCAACCTCAGCCCTGTTGACCAAGCCCGCAACCCGAGACATTAGAAGGTTTGGGCTAGCAGTAGATTCGAGCCGCAACCCTGAACCACACCGTGTATGCCAAAGAAGCAAGCATCTAGCAACCTTTTCCGGAGAGTGAGATGCATATCATCTTTTTTGCATGCGGGCACAAAATGCACACTTTGGCCAGGTGTCCTGTGCCAACATGGCTTAGTGGCAACATGTTGGATTGACACTTTTTAGTTCGCCGTGGTTTTGTTTAACAACCGGTACCGTTTCTGCTTTGCCACAGACTTCACGAAGCCATAGCTTTTTCGTTAAGTTACAATAGTTGTCGATTGAAGCCTTGCGCAGCAAACAGCTCGATGAAGACATGCTGTTGCAAGCAAGCACGCACATGACTAGAAAGCATACATGGTGACACGAGCGGATAAGGCGTCACATGTAGCAAAAAGTTACGATGTGTCCGACAGAATAACATACCAAAAACTAGTCGTCTGATTTGTCTTGGCAGCACAGACAGAGTCAAACAACGCTATCCTAAACCCTAAAGAAACCACAACGTTAGTGCTCTTCGACTTTTCCTCCACAAAGCCCTATTTTGTTGGGTTCTGTGCGAAGCCAGATAAATATGATTGGCAGCTCTTCAAAAATGCTGGTGAGATACAGGTAGGGTGCGAGGGGAAAGCCTGGGATCAAGCAATACCCCGAAGCTTGAAAGCAAAACCCAAAGCCTTCATGCAATCCTACATCTGTCCCTGAACCTTGAATCCCCTTCGAACCCTAAAACCCCCTTGTCTCAGCTAAGCGCATTTGAACCCTAAGCCACCACAACCCTCAACCGATGTTTGGGCTCAAGCATATTTTGGCTCAGCAAGGAGACGAAAAATAAATATGGCTCAAACATCTGGCGGGGGAAGCTCGCAGTGCAGACTTCGGTGACAAGCGGGCGCTAATTTAAAGCACTCTCACGCTTCTTTAAACGTCAAAGCTTACATTGGAGGCCGTTTCACGCTTTTTTTTAAACGGCAAAGCTCACATGGGGGTCGGGGGAGAGAAACGTCAATTCTCCCTGCTCGCCCAAAAGAAACGTCAAACGTTCATGTCGCCGCCGCACGATTCTTGATGTTTTTTCCTCGACTTGATGTTTTTGGTGAGTGGCCACGCTTTTAATTAATAAACGACAAAAGCATCTCCAGGAAGGAGTGAAGCCCCTCTTGGAAGAGGGCCGGGCGCTTGAGTCTGGAACACGTGAGTTCTGGAAGTTCAAAGCTAGGGTGGGACCTCTTCTCCAAGAGACGACAGAAGAAGCCTTGAAGGCGTTGCAGCCGTCAGAGATCCCGAGCGAGCTCATTGGTGATCTCGGTCAAGTTATGAATCCGGATAACTTGATCGGCGTTTTTCCTGTGGGTGGCCGGTTCGCTTCGGCGGACACTGTAGAGGGCGCCAAGATCTGAATCTGGGACTCCATCTTTCCCCACCTGTCTCCTTTGACTACGGTGGGCTTCATCACCCACTTCTTGTGGTTTAGATTGTTTGCAAGTTTCTTCTCTGATGCAGTTAAGTGATTTTCCTCTCGAAGAGTCTTTGTTCGATTTTTCAGGTTACAGAAGCATATAGCACTTGGCTTGAGGCTCTCCGTTACGGTTTTTTCGATTATACTTAAGCCCGATTCCGAGGGCGTGCCTGCCACCTTCCGCCCCCGAAGTATACTTACTCAGTGCGGTGGCTCGGAAAGACCGCAGACATCAAAGCTCGCATATTCCTCGATCGCAACATCAGAGGTGCAGGAAAGGGAGCGGCGGGGGCAAGGGAAAGGGAGGCCGAGGAAAAGGTCAAGGCAGGGGGCGAGGACAGGGGAAAGGTAAAGTCACAGGCAATGGAAAAGATCGCGACCGCTCCCCTCGTAAAAACCCAACTCCCGCCCCAGCGCCCGGCCCTGTGCCCCCAGCGCGGCATGAGTGAGCACCCTTGCAACGGCAGCCTGCAATAGCAGATTTTCAAGAGGTTCGCCGAGTACAGAGCTGAGTCCGTCAACATGCTGCATTCTGAGCATGTTACCCCACTACGACCAGATTCGGCGAAGCGCAGTTTTCCATTTTCTCTTATCCCATGGTCGGGACCCTGCACAGCTCTAAGCACGCTTTGCAACCCCTCGTTTTCTATTGCATACACTTCATGTTGCGAGCCGAGCCATACCACATATTTAGGGTGTCCCAGTTTAGTCTGCTCCACAAAGTGCACAAGCCCCTGTCGGCCCGGTGGGGACCCATGTTTGCGCCGCGACGGGCCAACAGCAGCAGCAGCAGATTCTTGCGTGGGCCATTTCGGCTTTGCCACACAGAAACGAAAGAGTGCTGATCCTGCTTGTTCGCCAACGGACCTAAGCCCGATAACAGTGCTTAGCAGCGCAGTATTTATCGTGCTTGGGCCCGCATCAGTCCAGACAGTTGGGCAAGCGTTGGCAAGACGGTTGGGCTCATGGACGGCATGTTTGGTGGTCGGCAAGGACGCGGTTGCGAACCTCTCCTCTTTCAGGTCGCCTTGTAGGATTCCGAAAGAACTTCTTGGCCAGCCTTTGCGTAAAATGGCTCTTCCTTGTTGCGTTTTTACCGCCGCACCTCGCGATGTTGCGAACTCGCTACAAGTTAGATGTTTGCCTGGATCAGGCTCAACCCGCTTACGGGGTATACTCCAAGGTTGTCCCCTTTCCACGATTGCTTTAAACGTCATCATCATTTTTTGGCTGAAGTCATTGTAAGGCTGACATTTTCATTTCGGAGTGGCGAGCTTATTGAGCGGACCAATACGGTTTTTCAGGTATCTATGAACGCACATTTTGCTGCGCGCTTCTCCAAGCCTACCCAACTTGGATACTCGATGGGGGAGTTCATTTAGGTCAGTGAACTTTCGGCGTGCATCAAACCTCCACGTGGTGCCCCCTGGAAACCGGGCGAAGCAACGACGACGAGGATGACGACCTACCTACATCGCTTCGCATCGTGGTCCCAACAGGCTATTATGTAGAGATTGTGGCCCGCCACACGGCTGAAGAAGTTGATGCAGTCGCAAGAAGTGCACAGAATGGCTTCCGCTTGGGACACTCCACCACGGATACTTGGCACGATCTTGCAGTTTCGATCGGGCACTCGCTGCTCGAAGACAGCCCACGTGTGGCTGCTTTCAGGAAGGGCTTTTGACTTGCTCCCTCTGCATGAGATATTGCTTCCACTGGCTGTCAGATTCGGCCTGCCCCAGCCCTTACTGCCTTCTCGGCGGGGATTGCCAGCGCCAGCAAAGTGGGCGTCCATGGAGCGGCTCGTCAGTTGTCAAATTGGAAATGGGGTGACACACTTGTTGGATGTAGGCAAGGCGACAGGTGCCTTCTTGTTTTCCTCGATTGCCGGCAGCAGCTGCTTGCTGTGTTTCGACCATCACTAGGTAGCCGTTCCACTGACATCATGTTGCCCGGCAGTCTCGGCCACAAGCCGCTTGAAACCAGAAGAAGGCGAGCTTGAAGAGGTCGGAGGCGAGGACAATTGCAAGTCGCCAAGCCGGGCCTCTTTGCACGAATTCGCTGCGTCGGCTACTAGTCCTGTCAGTTTTTGCATCGTTATTGTCACTTTTTTTGTTTCTTGGCTCTTATTTCTGTGTCTCTCCCTTCCTGCTCTGTCTTGTCCTTGGCTTTTGAGCACCATGTCTGTCAGCGCTTGAGCGCTCCTTGGGGCGTCCTGGTGGAGTGGTGTCGTCTCCGCACACCTGCCATTTTTGGGCCACAAAACGGTTGCGGTTAGGAGATTTGTTTACCAGACCGTAAACCCCGAACGGTTAGGCCCCATACCTTTCGCAACCTTACGTCCCTGTCGTAAACAATACATCCTGAACCCTCAAGCTGAGAAGTTGGGCTTGAGGCCGACAAAAGGTTTGAAATTCGATGACGTGCCAAACGGCCTGGCTGCTTTGTCCAAGGCCAGACTTGTCGGGTCGACTTCGGTTTTGTTTGAAAGTATGTGATTTAGGGTTTAAGTTCGGAAGGATTCCAGATTCCAAAGGGCTTGGGGGTTGTTGGAATGAGGACTTTCAGCTTATGTAGGATGCAAGATTGGGTGTGTTGATGCGTTGTTGAGGGTCGTTTAGAGTTGTGGTCTGCTCGATTGGTGTTCTGAGACTTCGGTGCTTCAGCTCTCAAGCACAAGTGCCGCCGTAAATGAAGATCCAATCGCTTGCAGAATAAGAGTCGAGCAGCATAGTCTCAGCCCTAAACCTTGAATTTTTTAACCGCAGATTCTTACTTAGTCATACAGAAACAAGCCTTAGCATTTTTGGTGTGAACTTGATAAATGATAAACCTTCCTTCTTCCTGCAATTGTCGATTCTCACGACAGGCTTGAAATCTTCCAAATCCCCATATCAAGGTTCGTTGGTTTCATTCTGTTTCTATGTAGTTTCGACAAACACCTTGCAAATTCGCCCGAAATACCCACATGAAAAGTGTCTGGCCTTGGTCGATTGCTGCCTAAACAGTTTGAGCTCCAGTAATAATTTATTCAGATCTGGATATGGATGTGCCTCTCATTTTGGTCAAGCGTGAACAGATATTTGTCTGAATGTAAATTCATATCAAGCTCGTGCTACCAGCATCAAATATGAGGATGTATATTTATACCAAGGCCATCTCAAATTCAAGTTAATGTCGGACATGGTCGTATGGAAATCATCATAATAAGAGCATGTTTGTTTCATACAGCCGTTTTTCTATTTTTAATTAGTTTCCATGAGCGGCTATGATACAACAACCGTATTTTTCGCATAAAAAGCCGTATTTCCCATCCATCAAGCCTTGCAAAAGATTTTATAAAGCCTGATAAGTGCAGGTGCCTTTTCTGGGCTGGATCCAGATTCTTGTCTTCTGCGGCATGGTGGACTTCGGCCTTTACAGGACTTTTCCAGAATGACAGGTTTGCAAGTTGGGAGGTTCAAGCCGGATCGGGATTGCGAATTTTCGAGTTGACGGGGTTGGGCTTTAGACCTTAGGTATTGGCGTTTATGAAAACACATGAGCATAAAAAGTAAACGAATTCTCATTGAGGAATGTGTTCAAGTCATCCGGACAGAGCAGCGCGTCACACTAAACTACATGCTGTGGTTGGTCGTGCTTGCACACACTACAATGAATGCTGGTTCGCACAACACCTACGTTGCATGTATTGCTCCTGTCTGCGGCGGCTGCCAAGGTGCTCCTGCTCCTGCTCTTGCTGCTCCTACTCATGCAAATTCTACCGCAACTGTTTCCGATCCTGCCACTGCTTCCACTTCTACTTCTACTTCCATCTCTATTACGACGACGGACGACAACGACTACTACTTGTTGTTCATCCACATGCTGCAACCTATGATTTCGCATTGTTGATGAAGACCCCTACGGAACCTCCAACATTGACCGCCAGGGCCGATCCATCCCGCGACCCGGGTGACTACGAGCCCTGGGGCCCAGGTCGAACATCGTGCGGTTTGTAGGTTCAGGGCTAGGGTTTACGGGCATTAGGGGAATAAGTTTAGGGGTTAAGGTTTAGGCATTATGGGGCTCAAGGTCTAGGAGTCTAGGGTTCAGGGTATACGGCTGACTGTGTTAATTATGTCGTAATTGTATGTGGCAGGGTTCCTGCTGAGTTTTTGGATTTTTATGTTGGGCTTGAAACAGATTCTTCTTAGTTCGGGGTTGCAAGCAATCGAGAAATAAGCGGCGCATGGAATTTCAGTGTCCGCTGCACCCCACTTCTCCTGCATCCTGAATCCCTACACTCTAAGCTGGCTTACGGTTGAAGGTTTAGTTTTTGACGAAGAAGAAAGTCGTAGGTTTGAAAGATGAGCTTAGACAAGTATGGATCCGTTCTGCAGTCCCAAGTCCCGGTTCCGAGAACACGGGAATCAGCTGATACTAAATACTATGACTCGGAATACGCCTTACACTTACGCCAGGCATTGCACAACATCCGGCATCGTGCAGACACAAGCTTTCATAAAGCAAGGAACGCTGGCATCCTCGGTGTGCCCAATGCCAGCGGACCCATGGCTGACGCTGAGGGCCGCAAGAGGCAACGCTTAAGGATTTCAAGTGGTTTGCGTTTAGAGTTCAAGGTTGACCTGGTTTGGGATTACGGTTTAGTGAGGCAGTCCAGGGCTGCCTTTGAGGCATTCACCTCAGGTTTGTGCAAAACGGGCTTTCTGGATTTGCGTCTTCATTTGTTTAGAGCCTTGATAAAGCTGGGGTTTCAGGGGCTTGATAAGCAAGAGTTCTGTTTGCGCTTATTTAGTCTGGACTGGGGTTTCTAGGACGACCTGCGGTGTTTGGTTTTGGGCTCGTGTTGTTCACAAGCGGGGCTGTCGAGACTCCGCAATATTGCATGGTGCTTGATTTGCTGGACTTGATATCTTCCGATTTCGGTTGTCCAGCTTTACAGGGCTTCAATCCGGCATCCAGGCACTACCTCTCGTAGACTAGCGAATTCTGGTTGAAGAGGGGTTGGCGTGCAGCTCTGCGGCTTGTAAGGTCCCGTCGGGGTGTTTTTCATCCCCTAACCCTCCGTGGATTTTTTCTAATCGCATACACTTGCCTGACTCTCCCTCGCTCGTGATTCATTTACAGCAATGCAATGTACTCAGGAAACCATAATATACTTATGTGGGCCCCTGAACGGCAGGTCCAGCAAGTTAGCAAGTTGCCATAGCGGCCGTGCTGTTGAACGCCCTCTCCTTAGGCCCTTAACCCCAAAAAGGCTGAAAGCACTGAACCGTGATGAACCTCATACAGGCGAGAGAAGCCCCGCAAGACTACAAAGAGTGCCTCCACACCTTTCATACCCCTCGTGTGTGGGGGCTGAACCCAACGATGCACATGAGCGCCAACCTGCCGAACATCTGGAACATGTCGTGCCTTGAATATGTCGCTCAATGTGCCTTTACTCTCAGCGATGCGCCAGCATTGGTTGATGGAGACCTACAAACATCTGCGAGTCGTTCCTCGATACTGAGACTTACTGAGATCGCTGGTGCAATAACTCTTCACGAACAGTGCTTGGACGCACAAACACAGCCGCACCAAGGTTGACCTATGCCGAGACCCAAAACCCTGGACCATTTAAACTAAATGCTGGACCCTATAGACGCTAAACATCGCTAGAAGCTACCTCATCTTCAACCTAGATGCTGTCTGCGAATGGCCTACCAGAACTTTTCTCACGGTGTCGCTCCTTTGCACCTGAACGCCTCAACCCGAAGAAGTCCGTTGAAGCTTTCGGGCTCAGAGGTTAGGCCTTCGGGTTAGGCCCAGGCTTCGGAGGTCCCCAGACCCCCCCGGCAACAGCGGACCCACAGCCTATGCAATTGCAAACCCCTATTCCTTACCCCAGCCCAAGCCTCTGAAGCCCTGAAACCCTGTCCTCCATTAAAGCCGAAGGCATGGAACTCTAATGCTCCAAGAATCCAAAGATTGAGCCTTCGACCCGAAATTCCTAAACCCTACAAACCCCAAACCCTTGTCAACCATACACCCTCAACCCTAGGCCATACACTCTAAACGCTACAGGAAGCTGAACTCCGAGTTGGCGAACGGGCGCTTGGCCATGATGGCCATCACCGGCATGCTCTTCCAAAACGGACCTTTCAGGGTCTCCAGGGTCTCCGGGGTAGGATTTGGGATTGAGGGCTTTCGGGTTTAGGTTGAGGGTGTCAGGCCGGGGGCAACGTTGCCAGCTTCTGTGGTTTGTGGAGGTGCTATATTTCACAGTTCCTGGTAGATGTGGCTGTATTTCTGTCGTCTTACCGGTGGGCTAGGCGAAGCATCACGCAGCATCACTCTCTGGACACGGAACACGGCGGAAGACTGACAGCAAAAATTGACTGGCTACAATTACAAACGGTGGTGGCTGGGATGACGGCGCGTACGAGGACAGACCGGCCTTTCTAGCTGATGCTGGTGCAGCCGGATGCAAAACTTATCAAGGAGCTAGAGGCTTACGCGATATATGCCGATGCAGCAAACTAGGCCAGATTTTAGTATTCGCAATGGTGTCGTGGTTCGTGGCACTGCGCAGAATGTAGAGCGGACTTTTCGCAACAGCTCAGACAACATGGGTTGCAAGCTGGTGGTCTGGTCGAAGCGGATGCGGACTTGGAACTTATAGCGACAGAAATTGCACGCATGCGGTTGAGGAATCTCTTGGCTACCCTCCAGCCATCGGATGCAAAAGTTCATGCTGCTATCCATGATCTACGGGAAAGCGCACTTGGGCCCGAGCCTGACCAGATCACAGTCCTTATGCAACGTCGTGCCTTTGTCATCAGCTCTGGACATGCTTGCTGAAGCCTAGGAGCCGTGTCTCCCTTTGGCATGCCTCTTTGAAATGAAGACGGAGATGGGCGGGACTTGTATGACTGGAGAGTGCGTTTCTGTTGGCCTTTGCTTTGTGCTACTTGTCCAAAATACGACTTTGTGGGAATGGACAGGGGTTTAGCGAACAGCATATTCTGATTGAGGGTCTTGTTGGTGGCAAATTTGGTCAACTGTCATCTCCTTTAAGGTAAGACTTTAAATCTTTTTGATTTGCAGCGCAGCATGTTGTCCAGCACGCGACCGGCCGCCTTCGACAATGACATCAAGATACAAAACCGTTCAGTGCGAACGGACAACAAGCATTATCATTATCAATGTAGGCAGTACCATGTGCAAGTTGCATAACAGACAAATTTCGCGAAGCCGAACTCGCTACTTCATGACACAACTCTGCAAAGCATTCGCTCGCTGATAACAGCCGGCACGGCACTGACGCTGAACTTCTGTTTGGCCCCGGCAGCACATCCCAAGCATCAATTACAACGCATCGCTCGCTTGTTTCCTGACATTGCGCCCTGCACTTTTCATGCAGCACCCAGCTTTCAAGAAGCATGCGAGTTGCAAGGTGCGCTTGCAA